ATAATTGTGACCCTAATTATTGCAATTTTTTCATCATACACCTTAAGACCTGAATTGTGGTACTTCATTTGATGCTCATTGTTTGTTTGACAGTCTGTCTTGGGTTATGAACTCCGGAAGGAGGGTGCTCCACATAATTGTCTACATGATGCTCAGGCTGCCATGAAACTTGTTCTCTCAAAGCTTGAGAGCAAAGTTGATGATGTGATTGTCGTAGCTGACGAGGATGTAAGAACAGGGATTTTCCAACTCAATCACAGTAGAACTTATGTTGTATGTCCTTATATATTAATATTAGTTTTCCTTCTAATACTGCAGACACCACAAATTGGTATGGAGAAGTTACTCCTTCATAGAGTACCAATTCATGTACCAAGTGAAGACTTAGCTGGTGTTATCCGTGGGGACTTCACAATTGAACTCAAGGTTGACTACGTTCTATTCATTTTGAACGCAATCCAGAATATGCATTATGATTAATTTTTTGTGATAATTTCCATGTCATATACGTGGTAGATAGTTTTGATATGTGGATGAATCCCATGAAAGTATCACGCACAGTTCATTACTGTAGGTTTAGGATCCAATTCACTATTGATAACCACTTATACTTTTAAACGTTAACCAAATGTCTAAGATGTTTGGCTGCACAGCCTTGCAGATATCCTGGCTACAAACGTTTAAACATTATGTCCATTATTCAGTGTCTGTATGCATTCTTTCTCCATCTACACTATCTTTTACCAATGTATTTTATGTTCTGACGATTGATCTTCCTACAGCCATCTAAGAAAGGTCAAGGGGATATATATTCTGCATTTGCCATTTTTAAGAACCCCGAGGAGGCACAGCAGGCATTTGAACAGGTCGAAGGCAGCCCAGATAAGGTAAATATAGATTGATGCAAATTTTCTCTATTTATGAGAAATGCTTTATTTTTTTCATTCGTCGTACTTTCTGCATTCCCTTATTATACTGACACATTTCTCTCATACGATGCCATACACACACCAAATTAATAAATCATATTTCAATATTTTGTAAAATTGACGTCCTGGCGAGAGTTTTAGCATTTGAATTGCCAGCTTGGTTTTACTGATTTTAAATTCTTTACTCCTGCCATACAATCAGGATTCATCTGGACGGCCACAAAAGCTCATTAAATTTCAACTCAGTTCAGGGTCCACTGTTAGTATCTACGTTCGTAAAATGGGACAAAATGATTTTGCTGAGAAATTCTCGTCTAAAAAGAGAGATTTGGAGGTGATTGAAAACCTAGTCATGTCCAAAAAACAGAAGACTGACCAGAATATTGCAGTGGAGACGATTGCAAACTCAAGTAGATGTTGCGACCATGTAGAAGAGATTGAAAGATTGAAGCAAGAATTGAAACAAAAGGAGGACTCAAGTCATTGCTGTGATCACTTGAAAGAGGTTGAAAGCCTGAAGGAAGAATTGAGAAGGAAGGATTATGAACTTAGTATCCTGCATAAGGCTATCACTATTGTGAAGAAGGATAACAAAAAGAGAAAGGGAAAGAAGAAGTAAATTTTGCCCTGCATCGACTTCAGTTGACATCTCTAGCCTTGATTATGCTCGTATTCCTCTTTTGGTTTATAATCTAAGGAACGGGTGCCCCATTTTATTAAATACCAGTGATATCTGAACGGGTTTACAGTGAAGTTATCAGATCAGCTCAGCACAGACCAGTTCCATCATTTTATTACACTTGAGAGATTCATTGGGATGATTGACCACCTGGCTGCCAAACCAATTACCTGCCATGGAGCGAACAGTCTGACATGATTTACTCAAGGATTGATTGAGCCAAGCTCGTGTGGCAAAGAGGAAAAGAGCTTCGAATTCCCGGTGCAATTGCCGAAGATCGGTTTCATGGTCTGTAGGTCCCCCCTTGCGAGGTTATTTTTATTTTGTTATATTTTTTCTTTTGAGAGTCAAGTTCATGTATTCTTCAACTTTTCTTTTTATAAGCTAACTTTTTCAGATGTCACAGGTTGCTTATTTTCTACTAGATATATTCTTTTTTATTGACACAATTTGTCTCAGTTATGGAAGTATTCAATTCAATTAGATGTACTAATTGCCCCTTAGGAAATTCAGCAAAAGAGGTACGGTGATCACACCAAATCTAATGCAACCACACTATTTTTAGGCATCAATGTCAACGAAACGTCTTAAACTCCAGAAAAAATATTAAAATAAAGGTTACTCATCTTCCTGTACGTGATTTGAATTATTCATTTTTAATTAGCAACGGTTAACTCTTAGATTTAACATAGTTTCATAGGATTGATTAATTTTATATAATAAATGACTAAATCATATTTTACATTTATAATTTTCTTTACCTTTCAATCAAATGCAATCATCCTATTTTCGGTCATTACATTTTCATTCCTGCATGCGAACTTTGGGAAGAGCAAGTGAAAAAAAGAATCGCATGATGCGGCAGAGAAATTTGAAGAATACAAACAATTAAGTATTTCTATTCCATTTTATTTTTCCATCATATGGAGCGGGGCGGTACCATCAGAAAAGGGGAAAACAATCAATTGGAAGCTGATTTTACCTTAAATATCAGCTTCTGCCTTCTGGTAAGCCAACTTTTTTCTGATATTATATGGTTCTAAGTTGCGGCAAACTCATGCTCTTCATTCGCTATCAAAGTCTTCTTCATCCCCAAACGTGAAAACCGATGCATCAGCGGCTATTGCCTTGAAATCACTTGCCCTTGCTGAATCCAGATTTGGGATGTCAAGGCCTGACGGTTGTATTGCACCATCAAAGTTTGGTTCTTTTGAAGCATTCGTTTGTGTGCTTTTCTCATTCCTGAGCGACAAATGACTAGTTTCATGTGCTAAAGTGCCAATTTTTTCAGAAGCAACTGCTGTTGATGAATGATCTGCTTTTGCAGTAGACTGATCTAGCCTGGTTTTTGTGTCGCCATTTTCTTCATCACTATCAGAGAATACATTGTCGTCAGTTTCTTCAACCCCGAGATTTTTACTTTTGCTGGATTGTTCTGCTTCATGACCAGACGCCTGATCGTGAATAGAGCGACGATCAGATCCCTTGCCAGCAGAATCAGTTTTCAATCGTCTTGGCAAAGTACCATCATAGTCTATCATCACAACTTCGATCTGGAATCCAGGTGTAGGAAGTTTTCTCTGCAAATGATAACCACATATATTATAATTCAGTAATGGATTGCATTAAAAGATACCATGATCAATGTCAAAGTACTTGTAGCATAAAGGAAGTTCGGGTAGATTGTGTTGATTACCTTATCAAAACCATCAAGATCTGTGTCATTTAATAATACTTTGTTTTCTGTCATTCTTGTATTTAACCAACTGGAAAAAGTAAAGGGGGAAAGGGTTAAAGAACTTCACAACTCATGCCACGATTTACTCCCTATGGCGTACAAGTGGAACATGAAAGTGGTAGGAATGAAATTCATGATATCATCTGGGTAGAATACCAGACTCTATTCAAAGGAATTCCATAACTAATAAGCCAGATTGGAAGTTGTCAGGAAATTAATTTACCAGTAAAAATCTCCGTGGCGGTCATGAAAATGAATCTTGAAGTCCCCAGTCAACTCTGTCAAACCAGGTTCACCTGGCAGCGCAAAGACCACAAATCCTTTCTTTGGTGCCCTCATCCAGAAATCTTCTGGCTGCAGCATAAGTTGGAGAACTCAGACAGGAGATGGAAATCATCCTAATATGTTTTAAGGTAACTAAACCAAGAGATTGAACTTCTATTCTTTTACCATTAAATTCTTTGTCTTTGGATGGTTTTTTGTTGAGAACAAGATCTCTGTAGATTATGGAAAAACTTCCGTAAGAATTCAATGTATATATCATAAAAATATCTTTAAATCCATAGTCATCAAACCTAGAAGGTAGTGTTGAAACAACATTGCCAGGGATTATCAAAATTATCAGAAAAAGAAAACAAAGGATTGCAGTTTTGCAAACATGCATCAAATAGATAATATACCATTCATTATATCTCTCGATGATGAGACTAGTTACATTCAGACGGAAAAAGAATTGCAGAKTCATATAATGACATACACGTATGAGAGACGTCCTTCAAATCCTTCCCTTTTTTCATACATATAATAATTGGTCATGAGACTACCATAACTCATCTGATTAAAACATAGATGTGGGGAAGTTAGGGATTTGAACCTCCAACATCAAAAGAGAGAGTTATATGTCTTTCACTCATGTAAGCTTAATTGGTTAATAAATAGTAATGATTGTTTTAAGTTGAAGGTTTGAAATTGCACTCCCACATGTTATATTCCATGAAAAATGGTTTAAAATTTATCTTGGCACCTAAATTTCCAGGATATTCCATTTGGGTCTCTCAACTTTCAAAATCTTTATTTCAGTTCCTAAACTTCCAAGTTTATTTTATTTAGATCCGTGAACTTTCAAAAGATCTCTTTTAGTATTTGATTTTATTTTGCTGTTACTTTTTTAACAAATGGATACTGAATAACATGTCTTTTGAGTGTATATATTAACTTACTTGCATAGGTACAGCTATATAGATTGGCTAAGGTGAATATTTGGTGTGCAAATTTTAGGTGAGAGAATATTTTAACGATAACTAAAATGGTTACTCTTTAAAAGTTCTGGGCAAAAATAGATATTTTGAAAATTTAAGAATTAAAATGATTATCTTTTAAGTTCCAGGACTAAAATAAATAATTTTGAAATTTTAGAGACAAAAATGAAATAAACGTGAAAGTTCAGGAATCAAAGAGATTAAAGAAAGAAAACTTGACCACAAGCAACGATTCATATCAAATTAAACTATATCTGAAACATAAAAATTGTGGGGGTGTACGACAAAAAAGCCTTCCTAACGAGAAGTTATCTGAAAGAGAGGTTAACATATATTGTATAATCTTATAAAATAAACATACATAATATAATGAAAACTGCAGAAATTTCAATACCACTGTGATTTGAGATTGTAATGGAAGGCCTAACCCAATAAGGGCACTTGTGAAGCCGGAAACCTCTCAGCATGCACCTGTAAAATTTTAATATCAGTAAACTCTTGGTGGTCATACTTGTATTCTCCATGACAAGTATCAATAACGCACCTCCGTCCAGGTGGAGTATCTCCACTGAAATGTGTTAATATGCGTTCAAAATACTTGACATACCTCTGAATCAAATAAAGAAGCATCAGAGTCATGTTAAAAAAAGTAAATAAAAGAAAAAAGCTTTATGAAACTGAATGGCTAACAATCTGGCTAGGAAGAACCAAAGCTTTCCCATCCACRCATCTTTTCTGATTATAGTAATCAATTGCCTCCTCGAATGTTTGGAAGAACTGGATCAATATGGAAAAGAAGATACTAGTAAACAAGCCCAAAGACGAGGTAAAATTGAAAATAAATCTACCCATCTTTAGAGATATTGACTATAAAGTCTGACCTTGAGGAATAAAAGAAGGCTGCATATCATTAGCCCGGTCCTAGCCATACCAGCTTTACAATGAACAACAACCACATTCTCAATATCCTCCTTTAACCATGCATATGCACTTTGACAAAATGATTTTATGAGGTGGATAGGGGGACAATTATGATCGTCAAACGGGAAATGTGCAACCTGAAATATACAAAATTTTCAAGTTGAAGAAATAATCCATCAGAACAATTTAGTTCCCATTTCCTGCCTCGAGAAATCAGCATCCATCATTTTCAGTCTGTCCATTATTCAAAGCCACTCAGAAAATAAGATTTGGACTAAATACTTGCAACACAAGGATAGTCGACTTATACTTCCTAAATTTTACAGATAAGAAAGTATTCTGSGTCAGTGGGTCTTATACATACCCCAATCTTAAGTATGTTGGAATAACTGATTGTCATTAGATGGACAAACAATGCCAAATATAAGTACTTCAGATCAACCAGAGGAAAAGGTAGCTAATCTAGTTTTTGTTGTACCATCAAATAAGATTGAAAGTAGTGAGAAAACTCAATTGTTGACCTGAAACCTTACCTTCCCCTCAAATAATGAAGCATCATACAAACGCTCGGAGCAAAGATTGTAAACTTTGTATGTTCCCTGCATGTAAACACCGTTTTAATTTGTGGATATTTACAATCAGCAAGATGTTGACATGCAAGTAATCAGTAATGCTGATCTTGACTCTTTTCTTCCTCGAGTGTGCTGCTCTATGGAATCATAAAATACCAGAAAATAAGTGAAACTAAAATTTACCTTATGATGAGTTTCGAAAAATTTGATCACTTCTTCCATATGATTTCTATAAAATCCCTACAACAAATTTTCCAATTATATTTATTCAATATGCAAAGAATGACCTCATTTACTAAGAACATAAGCACAAATAATCTGAATTTATCAAATATTTCTTTCTTACCTCAAGGTATCCAAAAAAACCAGAGCTCATGTGACCAGCAGGAAATCCCATAGCAATTATGTTTTCAGTGATATACGTCATATCCAAATCAAATTCTCCTTCCTGTTTAAGAAAAAAGAAATATTATGAATATATTCAGTATATTAAGAAAGAAGAAAGTAAGAGAATTTTTAGACTCTCTTGTAGGCCATCCAATTAAAAAATTATATAACAAATATATATATAATATTCATTCATTCATTTAATTAGCTAGATCAAACTCATTAGGTATATAAATGATGCATTTTCATTGGCTTAGACTTAGAGTAATGTAATATTACAATTTATTACTTGTAATGAGTACAAAAAGAAATATGAACAGAGCACATTACAATTTACAGATACAACAAGTACAATAAAATGGAAGAAAATGTAGCACACATGAACTACCTGATATCTTCGTTTGTTTTGAGAGACAATATGGCGTGCCTTTATCTGCATAGCCTTTACTGCACTCTGGGATGTGTCAACTAAACCTTTTGTGAAGGATTCAAAAACACCAGATTGTGTTGCGGATTTGGAATCTGCAGCACCATCACCTCGTACTGGGGACATTGAAGGTATCCTCAGTCCAAAGCCACTACCGAAACGTGCAATTGCTGACATCCCAGAATTTCCTGCCTTGGAGTCATTTTCTGCTGCTTCAGGTGATTGCGGAGTTCTGAAACTCTTAGCCCAAGATGATATGCCAGATGTAGATAAAATAGATGTTGAATGATCTCCTTTACTATTTCGTCTTTGGACAGTTGGAGCTGAATTGTTGACTGCAGATTGTGTTGAACTATTAGAAGTTCCATTATCCATTTTATCATACGAATGAATCTGGGTTAAATGCTGCTCTACTATCCTGGTTGAGACTAAACTATGTGGATCTCAGCTTCTCAAATAGAAACCATTGATGACCAGTAGGGATATCCACAATGAAGTTCCAGCTGTCCGCAGTTAATCCTTACATTCCAAGCTGCAATATATTAATCCTATGAACACGCTTGATATTTTTTCTCATGCCATAATGCTAAATGGAGGGTTCAGGAAGAAATTGTTATTCATTATATCATCATCAGAAAAACTGATCGTGAAGTCCCATATAGTAATTTAATTCCATAGCCCGTTCTCAAAGATGGGTGTTGGCACTCGTTATCAACCACCGTTCAACAGTGGACCAGATGAATACACATGACTATGTTCAGGTAGGGAGGGGCAAAACAGTTTAACAATTTGACTTTTTATATATAATCTTTCAATTTTGAAAATTTAGAGCAAATTAGAAATAAAACTTGAAAATCTTACCGTTTTAATAATTTTTTTTTTATATCTAAGACCAACCTTGATTATGTTTGATCACTGGAACAATTGTCTTGGGTCAAACTACTCAAAAACCACCGTCCCCGATCAACGATTGGGGTGAATAATGAACTAAATAAGCTATAAAAGAATATTTCTATCATGACGCATCMTTAAATTTCTGTCCACGCATTATCCTTTTGGTGCATTTAAGAAAAGATAGTAAGAGTTATTGAATATTGGATACTCAAGCATTAGATTGCTCAAATCATCGTTCTCCATTAACAGCCTGCATTTTGTACATACCTCCAGTAAAACCCGTCACTTGAAGTAATTATACATGCTCCAAGAAAATGTGCCAAGCTGGAATTAAGATTCAGCAACCAGATTTTGAAGAAAGCACTACGTCAACGGAGAGATACAGATCTGCAAGTAAACGCGGGAAATTGGCACGACGAAACACGAATCTAATCGCATGAGTAACAAATCACGAGCGATKTGTACTTACATACATTACACACGCAAATAACGACTCTAAAAAGAAAATGCAGGGTAACTTACAGACACAAATTGAAAAATTCTGTTCGATCTCTTCGAATAAAAGATTGGGGAATGAGCCGAAGAAGGTGATGTCCAGTTAAGATCTCCGAGAAGGTGCTTTCTGTTCACAGTTCGAAAATGGATACGAGGGAAAAAGAAATAGCTGCTGGAGATTAAAACCTACAGGTGAATAACTTCAATAAAATTGCCGATCGATGGTTTAATTTCACCTTCGTTTCATCTGTTCGGATGATGTAATTCAATTACAACCGAGTTTTTTTTGTTTTTCATCTCGATGTCAATGAAACGACACGTCGTCTCTGGTCAATTAACTACGACGCATGTTCTAAAAACGACGGTAAGATTTTGTTTTTTCTTATTTAAAATATAACATTATAAATTTGGTAAAAAAGAAAATTTGCAAATTGCAAATTTGGCAATATGGCAAACACACACGTGACGTACGATTAGAAGCGTGAAGGACCGGTTTGGTTGAACCGGACAACGTCGGAGAAAAGCCGAAGGAATCAGGCCGAGAATAACGGCCAGTTCGTTCGTCAACCCTACATCGGCAAATGGCAAGAGGGAGATAGAATAATTCTCAGAAAGATAGGAAGGGGAAAAAAATCAAGTCAAGTATATAAATTGGACAACCGACGGTGGCCAATTCTTGTGGGTCCTAATGGAAAGCGTAGCGGCTGGCGTTGGTCTCGGCGCCGCCGAAGATTTCTCTTCCACCACTATCGTTTCACGGTGGAGCCATGCCGTTTCCAGGCGTTATCAGCATCTCCTCGATAGGTGCACCCCATTCATCTTCTACCGTTGGATCGCTTGCTTCGCCATCGCCTCTATCTATGTTCTTCGGGTTTACCTGATCGAAGGATTTTACATCGTCTCTTACGGTTTAGGAATTTACATCCTCAACCTTTTAATTGGGTTTCTCTCGCCCCAAGTGGATCCTGAGATCCCGGATCTCCATGAGGGCACTGGCCCTGCACTCCCCATCAGCGAATCCGACGAATTCCGCCCTTTTGTTCGAAGGCTTCCGGAGTTCAAGTTCTGGTGCGTTCATAATTCCGATTGCTTGAAATTTCTTTTCCCATTTTCAATTTGAGCCATCGCAGTACCTTTTGATCGAATACTTTCTGATATATATGTAAACCAGGGGATCAGGAATTGGTAGTGCAATTATAGACTGTCGAGGTTTGCCTCGGCTTTTTTGAATATGGGTAATTGTCGGATTGAAGTCTCGAGCTCGTATAGTTCTCCGTAAATCGTTTGTTAACAATTGGGTGGTCGGTATTCTTTTGCCTTCAACTTTTCACCTATAGGATGTGGATTCGATTAGGATTGGTGCTGGGATCTCGAGATGATTTTCGCGTTTGATATGTCATATGTTTGCTAAGTTCGATCTCATTTAGTTATTAGCCCCAGACCTTTCCAATGTTGAGGGAGATCAAACTCGAAGTGTTGCGATCAGAAATTTGTTGATATTCGTACCTTGCTTTGAACTTGGTATGTGATAAAGGTTTGTGCTTGGGGTCCTGGAGAGGACCTTCATTGCTTCCTCAACCCTCCAGCCCAAGAAGTTACTGATATGGTTGGCACAATATGGCTCTCACTGTGCATCACCGAATAATTTCTCCTCTACTTTTTAAAAGTTGAAGGAGGAAAAGAAGGTCAGAGAACCTTGGTGACGTTCCATGGTAACTTTGACCAAGTTGTTTTATACTTGTGGTAAACATCTAAAAGATTCTGGCATAAAACTTAAGATGTATAGTGTCAAATATTGTGCATGTTAGCCTCGTGATAGAACCCCAGTATTTTTGGTATTTCTTTTACAATGTTTGTAGTTGTTTACTTTACAACTTTCTTAACTTTGTTCTCGACCTCCATCTTCAACATATATACTATTTCCAGCAGCATTCAAGCAGTATGGATAGGTTCAATCTTTAAGCTTTTAAACCTGGAATTTTGTAGCCCAAGACTAGAATACTTGGAAGAAAGTTTCTCAAAATTCAGTATTATCGGTCAAATCCTCTGTTTACTTGCATATTGATGGTCATTCATTTTCATATATCAATAAAAAGTTGTTTCTTGTTCCAAAAAAAAAAAAAAAAACTTGCATATTGATGGCCTGTATTTATAAAGATTCGGTTTTAATTTAATTGGATGCCTAATCCGATAAAATTTCTTAATCAAGATGGACATATACTATCAAATTTAACTGAGAAAAAGGAAGATTTCATAGACCCTGAATGGGCTTTATCCTGATTATGGAGCTGCTGTTTGAAATAACCATAGAAAAAAATGCAAACTTTTGGTAATGTTCCTCTCCTTTCCACTTTGAAGGTACTCTATCACAAAAGCCTTCTGTATTGCTTTTCTGATGACCTTCTTCAGTGCATTTGATGTACCTGTATTTTGGCCTATCCTTCTATTTTATTGGGTGGTGCTGTTCACTCTCACCATGAGGAGACAGATATCACACATGATCAAATATAAATATGTTCCGTTCTCCTTTGGTAAACAGGTAAATTCTTTTTCATACTCTTTCTGTTTTCTTCATCTTATTCAATGCCATCACGTCCATACAATAATAAGCTAAAAATTTTCTTTATTTCTTGATAGCGATATGATGGAAAGGGTGCAGCTTCAAGCGAAAACAAGAGTGTCCTGAAGGATTGAACTCTTTGGGTAGACTAGCAGTAGTAATTATTTCTGTTAAGTAGGAGATCTTTGTAAACTTAATTTATTCTGCTGTATTCTTGTTGACAGTCAGTTCTACATGAGGAGAAGGCGGTAAGAGATAATTGTTATGAAGATAAGTTAGACTGATCATCTGCTGCTTCTTCATTTCCCCTGATCTCTGTAAATCGGACAGATTATATGGTTCTGAATTTTCCCCTTCTCTCCATGGCAGATATGCTCCAGTTGTAGAGATGGAAAATTTACTATGTTCCCATCACATCTCTAGGAAGCCTAATTTAAGACCATTTAAGTTTTTGAGCTTTTTCATGGGGAAGCCATTCCTGATCTGCACTTGGTTAGAATCAACAAGAATGTCTCCCCCAACCACTAGAAAAAAGGCACTGGTTTTGTTATCAGATGAATATTCTGAGATTTTACCAAACAAATTTTTGCAGATTTGCCTGCTCTACATCCGTATCTCCTTTTAATTTCAATGTAGCAAGAGTTTTTATATCGTATTCAGGTCCCGCGATATTCATTAGTTCTTATTGCTAATGTCTGAGCTGGTGGAACCTATTGGTATTTTGATTTGTTTATGGCTCAGTACCCTACTGAACTTAGGGCTGCAGCTTTTGCTCATGACCAGTCTTGTTATTGCCATAGCTTTGAGCTTCTTATCAGAATTTATGGCTGCAAATATTAAGTATTAACCATGGTTTCAGATTCTGGAATTTTATTTGCTTTCTAGTCCAACGGAAAAAAACTGGAATTGTCTAAAAACTTTTATCCAAGGACTCCTAAACAAGTCTTATATGCAAACAAAAAACAGCATCTTCTCTGGATTTGTGATTTTAGATGATGTTGTGTTTAACTCGATACAAAAACTGAAGATAAAGAGTTGAAAATATTATGGCCAAAGCTCAGAAAAGCTTGAATCTAAAATAGAATTTATTGCATTAGTTGAATTAGTGGGACCAAAATGTAAAGGCAGCCGAAGCTCCATCCACTACATGATGAAAACCAAAACTTGTGTATTACAAAACCAATAGCACAGTTCGATCGGCAATTTGAACTGGTAAAACGCATCGAAAGAAGAAAGAACAATCAACTGCAAAACAGAAACTTTTAATGAGAGAGAGAGGGTCGGTTCTGATTCTGAGTTGTGGGTCAATTTGGGGACCTGTAATAGCCGTAAACTCCATAGAAGGTCTGTGTGAAAGTAAGCAGCAGAAGAACTACAGCTGCAACCAACGAGATAATGGCCCATGGATTGCCGAAGTAATTGTGTTTTAAGGTTGCTCTCCAAGCATTCCATCTATGGTTGTAGTATCGATTCACATCCTCAGACAATTGGGAGAGATAACTATCATTGATGTCGTAAACCACCTCTTGACAGAGACGATTGAAGAGTTCAGCGACCTCCTCATCACTCCCAAGCCAATGCTCTATTATTCCACAGTAATGGAGGTAAGCAACATCTTCGTGAGAATCGATTAAATTATCCATGAAAACCACATAGGAAGTTATGTCATTGCTGCAATCGAGATGACACTGCTCGAACGCTATTAGATTGAGAAACAGTGACCTAGTTCCGTCGTGGATCAATAGCCGCGGAATTTGCAGAATGCCATTCTTGAAATTGATATCCCAAAATCGATCGGTTTTCTTCTTCTGGAATCTGACCCCTGCCTCTTTGAGCTCCTTCACGCAGTGTATCAATTGCTGCCTTCGTTTATCGGCTACCCGATTCGCGTTTGACCACCGTTTGATCCACACTTTCGGGGCTAATTTCGGGCCGGACCGGAGGAGACTTCGCCGAAAAACATCGAGGCAATGAAGGCCGTCGTGATCACCGAGCGGGTCAAAAGTGGTTGCGGATCCGAGAGATGACTCTAATTTGTTCAAGCTACTTTTGGTTAATGGCTCATCGTTTGGAGTCAATGGATCGAAGAATCTGAGGGCCAATTCGGCTACGAGCCCTTTCTGGTAATGGTCACCAAGCTGAAGCCCTAGCAGCCGATCCAGCACAAACAAGGGAAGCTGATTCTCGAGCATTATCATGTCCCTTTGAATCGAATGCATCGAGCCGCGCATTGCGAAGATCGGATCGTTTCGAGGATAGCCAAGTTGTTTGAATCCTTCGGCTGCTCCTCGGAAGAGCTCGAGCATGAAGCAGCCGTCGAGCATCATCATTTCCACAAATTCATTGCTGCTGAAACTGATCGGTCCTTCGTAACAACTACGGGCTCTTTCTTCAAGTTCTTTCATGGAATCCAGATAAAGCTTTATGTCATGCTTTGTTCTCTCGAGGATGTGGTAAAGCGACCGCCATTTATGGCGTTCCATTTGCCGGAGCCGGCGCTTTCCATGGTGGTAAGGTCCTAAGGAAACAATCTGAGGAACTACAGCTTTGTCATCTCCATCTCTTAGGTAGTGGGGGACCTTGTAAATGCAGAGTTTCGCCCATGAACTTTCAACTTCATCTTGATGAGCTTGGTCGAGCTTTTCCTTAATGGTAATAACCCACTCTGACTCCGGCGATTCTGGGTCTTCTTCAAGCTTCTGATTTTCATCTTCTATTGCAATATGATGGGATTCTGATTGAATCTGCTTCTGTTCCTGAAGCTGCTGCAGCGCAGGTTTTCCATGAGAATCAACAGAGTTTGCAGAATTTGAGGTTCTGGGAAGTCCAGATTCTACAGTTTCTCTAAGCTTGAGGGTGATCAGGTACCAGCTCAATAGCTCTTTGTTGTACACAGCCACCATTTCTTTTAGCACAAAACTGAAACCCTTGGACTTTGACTGCTTTTGAAGAACTATAATCTTATCCCAGGAAAACAAAATCACTGTACCGTTAACAAAGACAACTAAGACATAATAATTAAGAGAGAAGATGATATGCGAAACGTCAATTCCAGAAGGGTAATATTCGAATTATTGATGCTTTAAGTTTTCAATTGGCGTAAAGCAATTGTAGATCATCAAAATGAAACGGACCCATTTACTCGGAATGTTTATTTGAATTTCCATATAGAGGTTTGGTGTGAATGTGAACGTGATTTTCATTGGAAAATCAAGTTACCATTTTTTTAAAATCCAATTCAATCTTTTTCTCTTCCTTCTTGTGATGTTCTAACAGATGTGCACGATTCTCCCTCTCTCTCTCTGTCTCTCTCCTTTTACCTTGTATTATTATATATAGAGATGAAACTTTCCCTGGAATTCCGTTATTTAATATTGCCACTCCACAGTTGACCCCAATAATAACATTAGGTGGAAGCAAATGGGTAATGTCATTAGTTGGTCTATGAGAGGAAAGTTGCTCTATCATCATAATTGTATATTCTGTGCTGGATAGAGAGGGATGGATGACAATTGACAACACACACACAGAGCTCCATCTTAAATCCCACAAATATCATTAAACTGTGAAGGAACATTGATACTGAAACGAATCATTTACAAGAAGCACAACAATCGTTGATATTCCTAGGTATAGCAACAGGGCAAACTTTAGACCAACAGGAATTAATTAAAACACCAAGAGATAATCAACTTCCATCAAACTAGTAGTAGTAACCCATTTCCCACCTCTCCCCAATTCACCCGTTTTTCTTCTGTCCCAAGATGTTCAATTCAAGCACTGCTAATCTTGATCCTGTCCCCAGCTCTTTCCAAACCTAAGTATGAACCCGTTGGGTTGTCGCTAGTCTTAACAGGGTAAGAAGACTCCATTGTAATTCCACACTTGCCACTGGATGTGTTCTTCACATTGCGCTCTAGCCTGAAATAGCCATCCTCACCCCACTCTGTGCCCCATGAGTTCCTTACAAGCCAATAATCAACTCCGTTTTCTGTGCCATACCCGACAGCGACCACACCATGGTCAAGATCTGAACCGCACTTGCCAGTAAACACCCCCTGAAAAGTTGGATTATATATTGATCAATCACAAGTTGATAAGGTGAGCTGTGGATCAACCTTGGGGGAGGGAAATATAGATAGGCATTTCAAACAAGGTTTTCAGATCTTTTGGTTTGAAAGTTTCACATAATTTTGAAGTGGTGAGGATCATGGACAGAAGTATTTATAATGGACTTGGATCCGTGGAGTGATAAAGAATCAAGAAGACTCTAATCTGAGAAAGAAAAAGAGAGATTTGCTTACAGACTGGTAGAGTTGCAAAGCCCTGCCACCGGCTTCAATGGCGACGCTCACGGGCTGATGAGCAACGGCCTTCTTCAACGCTTCCTCGTCGCCGACAGGGACATCCTCGTACCCATCAATGCTAACAACCTTGGCATTTTTCTGAGAGATGGCATCCAACGTCAGAGAGGAAACTCAAGAGTTAAGAGTTAAGACCAAGCCAAGTAAAAGTTGAACACAAAAGCAGATATGTGGGAGGACAGCCTCACCCTGGTAGGATCGCATTGTCCGTCGAGACCTTCATAAGGGTAATCTTCCTCGGTGTCCAAGCCGCCATTGTCAATGATGAACTGGAAGGCATAGTCCATAAGACCTCCATTGCAGCCTGAATTATAATCTGTGTCACAGCTAACAAGCTCTTGCTCCGAGAGGGAGATCAGTTTTCCGGTGACGATCTGGTTTATGCCTTCCACAGCTGCTATGGTCGAGAATGCCCAGCAGCTTCCTGTTTTCCCAACACAGTTCCAAATTCAGAGCTCAAACATTTCGCATTAATGGCCTCACTGGTTTCAAACAGTAATTGGATTTTGCAGAATGCCAAGGTCCGCCATTAATTATATTATGCTCCAAATTCAAGAATATCTCTCTCTGTATATTTTTTTTTTGAAACGAAATGCAACTTATATCTCTTACACGATCTTTCACAATTTAAGTAAATAAAACAAGTCATATTACGAAGGGGATCTTCCATTTTTCTACACCTCTGAATGATTGTGATTAATCTTTAATTAATCATTGGTGACTACAGTATCTGAACAATAAAGTTGTTAAAGCCTACAAAAATCATAAGTGTTTTTTTTTTACACAACAAAAATTATAAATGTTGATTCGTTATAAGGCCAAAAGTTCATTGCTCTTTTATATGTTTGAATTCTGAATAAATTTTTTAGATCATAAAATTATTCAGCCTTTCTAAATTGATTTTTTCAGTCAATTAAACTATTATTAATCAAAAAAAGTTCCGTACTTTGTATCACATATTTTTCTTTTCATTTTTTTTCCTAAAAAAACCCTTTTATCTCTCTTTTCTTTCTTATTTTATCTTATTTTAGAAAACAATGTTTAATTATCTTATTTTAAAGGGAAAATAAATAATTTAAAAAAAAAGAATAAATAAAGAAACTTCAAGCATGAAAATAAAGTTTAAAAGCTTACTTTAGATTTTCAATTAGATAGTTTATTCAAAATATTAATATAAAAAATACATTTGGTTTGATTTTAAAATCAGTCTTCAGATTTTAAAAAATGAAATACGTATCTATTCAAGGAGCTTTCACTATTCAAAATAAATTAATTTAAAAAAAATTATTAATATTAATATTTTATAGTTTTTCATTTAACTAATTTTTAATAGTTGAAATGAAAGTAGTGCTTCTCTTTGCTACTAAAATATATTTAAAAAAAAGAAAGGAAAAATAGATTAATATTTATTGCTTTCATGTGTATTTTTTTGAAGTAAATTTTTTACCTATCAATATTATCTGAAAATAAAGATACAAAATTGTTGTTATTTTAGATAAATTTTAAAAATAAATGAAGATACAAAAAAAAACAGAAAAAACAATAGTACATAAAACTTTTTAAAAAATTAAAAAATAGTATAAAAACACGTTTTATAAAGAAACAGAAAATAGATTAACAATAAAAAGGGATTTAAAAAAAATGCCTAAACAATCGTTTTATTTCTGAACCGTATAAAACAGATTAAAATTTCTGAAAATACACGAAAAGCAACTTACAAGAAAATATATATCCCCGATATTGTACAAGAAAAAATATATATATATATATGTTTTTATTTTAAATTATTATTTCGAAAGAGTATCGACTCTCCACAGAGGTTGATATTTAAAAAACTCACCGCAACTTCCTTGATCTTTGATGGGACCAACGGCTCCTCTCGCCCTCCAATCGACGGATTCCGGCAACTGATCGCCGGCGTTGACGGTGTATCGGCGGCTGGCCTTSATCGCCTTCATGACTCTGCGCACGGGATTCGACCTGGTCCCCAAATACGCGGCCCGATACTCGTCGTTGCTCAAATCCGCGAACCTGTTCAATCCGACCTTATACGTCCGATTCTCGGAATTATGCTCATCGATGAAGTTGAGATTGTCCTTGAAGATCTGGAATCTCTTCTCCCGTTCTTCGATTCCGTTGTAGGCCTTGCCGTGCTTCGCCAGCCACAGGTCGTAGATTTCTCTCACCTCGCCGTCTCTCCGGCGGCTGAGCACGGACATGTCCGAGGCGGAGGCGAGGGCGGAAAGAAGGAAGAAGAAGAAGAAGGAGAGGACGGCGAGCGAAGTGGCGGTGGCCATGGCGAGGTTACTTCAAGAACAGGGAAAGGGAATAGATAAAATGGATTCCTAGTGTGGTGGAAGTGGGGAAGTGGGTATGCCTATTTATAGCCTCAAAACTGAAAATGTGAAATGGGGTTAATTAATAATCAAAGTGTCAGAATTAAAAAATAATGAATTAATTCTTCACCGAAAGTTACCTTTTTTTTCTGGTGAGTGTGTAAATGATGTTTCGATTTTACAGTGTGTGAGTTTTTTTAACTGTCTCTTTTTCCGAATAATAAATAATATTTTAAATTTTACACCAAAAGTTTATTTCACATTGTTTAAGGAAATTTTTTTAATAATTTAATCAACTCTTTATAACTACTCAAATAATAGAGAGGTTATTTCTTTGTTCCAATCATTCAACTTATTGTCCATAAAATAAAATTTTAAAAAAAGCTTGTTTTTATTCTATCTTTTGGAAATTGGAGGGATGGAGGGTGATTATTTAATTTCATGGAATCTGTGTGGAGTGATGGAATAGGTAAAATAGAAAGCGACAGAAAAAAGAAAACTTGATGAAAAAGAATTATATTTTTTGTTTTGGAGTGTGATAGATTCGTGACTATCTCATGGCATAGAATCTCCTCGRATATAGTTATCCAAGAATTAGATATTATACGYTTTGGACATAAGCACCATTTTATTTATTTTTCCTTCAAAATGTCTCATATCAATAGAGATGTTGTCCCTCGCATAAACAATTTCTTTTTATTATTATTATTTAACCAATATGAGACTTTGGTTGCATTTCCAACTAAAAGCTTACCAAAAATGGTAGAATTTTATAAGAAAGGTTAATTATTTTAGGTTATTAAATTAAATTTTAATACTTTTAAGTAAATTACAATTCGTTACTAATAATTATATATTTATATTCTTGATATTCTACGGTTAAATCTTATTTTCGTCTTTCAATTGTTTAAAAATTGTATCACACCTTGATTTTTAGATATACAGTAAAATTAAATCACCTTATCCATATGTGAAAGACAAATAAAGATCAAAATAGTTACTCTTMTAAAGTATAAAGATTAAAATATAACATTTTGAAATTCCATAATAGCAGGACAGAAATAAAAGTATAAAATTAGTATCCTACCTAACCAATTAGATTTAAACATAAGAGTAAGGTGACCATACTCCTCCATGGGAGTGGCCGAGTGATTTGCAATTATTTGAACAAAATAATAGAAAAGCTTAGCAAGTGGGAGTTATGGGTGTGGCTGAGTGAGGCTCAGGCTCAGGCTCAGGCTCAGGCTGAGGGCTGGCTTTTTCTCTGTGCTCAACCAGTAGTAGAACTAGGGGACAAACTTCCATTGATAAAGGAACTTCAAGTGGAAGTTTAATTTGTAAGTGTTTTGTCAATTTCACCCCTCCCCTTTCATTGTCTTAATGCCCAAGTTCTCTCTCCCTCCAAGTGTCAAAATATTCATGCATCCTTTTTTCTACGTTTTTAACTTTCTATGTGCATTTAATTCTTTTTTTTTTTCTTTACACAAAACTAAAGTGCGCCACCACCCACATTATATGTATACATCTGGTATTTCTGTCTCAATCCATTATAAAAGATTGAGTTGAAAAGAAATACGGAGAAGAATCTTACTTTTTTATATATAAAAGCCATCAATAAATAGATGAGATGAATAAAGATAATAAAAGTAAGGTTAAGTTATATATTTAAGATCGTGTTTTAAAGTGGTGTTTATTTTACCTTTTTACCTAAAAATAGTTTTTAATAGATCATGACAACCTTTTAATTTTGTATTTAATAGAGTTTCTATTGTTAATCTATTAGTTTAATATTTAYGTAGTATGGTAGCTATATTATTAAAACGTGATAGTAGATTTAAGAAATGTTCAAACATTTGATGACGTAAATAGGTGTAAACAAAAAAATTAACCACATAGATCAATAAGGACTATATAGACATAATTTTGAAAAATTTTAACTACCCATTAAAAATTTATTAAAGTACATGAACTAAACGAACAAAAATCTAAAAATATGGAAGAAGTAAACATGTAGTTTAACATAAAAGCAATAGGAATGAAATTTGTAAGTCTTTAGTATTTACGTATTGTATTTTGCAAACTCTACCTTGTTTTTTTTTTATTATTATTATTATATAATTATATTGTATTGTATTGAAATATAAGTAGATTTGAAATTGGGAAGGGGAAAAATGGGATTCCAACTTCCAAGTTGGGGGCTGTAGTTTCGGTAGTTAAAAAGATAAACAAAAATAATTTGCAACCGATTGAATGAAATGAGAGCATGGGATAATGTGCCACTTTCGTGTCATTTCCCATACACGAGGAGAAGCTCACATCAGATCACCACCACCACCACCACTTCCCATTTCCATTATTATAATTTATCCCCTTTTTATTATTCAAAATTTAACACTACAAATTCATCATTTTAAATCGGAAGTAAAAGGAAATGAGAGGGGATTCGTGAGTGCTGTTCCCGAGACGGTGAGGCAGCGGCCATTCCTTGAACTTGAACCAACCAAAAAAAGACCAATAAAGTTTGAATGAAAGAACAGAGGTGTCTCGGGAATGCAAATTTGAATCTATCTCTGGATTACGCATTCATTCATTCTCTCTCCTCTTTAATATTATCAATATTCATTCATTCCTTTATCTTTCTAAATCTTTTTCTCATACCCCAATTGGAATATCATGTGCCATCCTCTGTCATTCAGCTTTTCTAAATTTAAGTTCCATGAATAAATAACCCAAATTTTGTTGCAAGTCCTCATGGCATTCAAGAAGTTTGCAAGCCATAGTAATCATTAAGAAGCAAGCAAGATTGTTAGGCCATGTTTATTAGTAGGGAACGCTCTGATTTTGCTTAAATTTATTAAACAATAGAGAATGACTTCTTATTTATGATATCATTCTTGTCATCTTGTTTTATTCAGTTTTTTGGTTCCATATTCAATATGTGGAATCACGTGCCTATGTGATTCGCATGATTCTCCAAAAATACAATTCAGAGTTTGATTACATGGTCAATTGGAAATGAAAAGATTCTCAGCAACTTTTCATCCTTTGTTTATGATTAAGCAGAAGAACTCACAACTCCTAATCAGAGCATCGTGTATAAAACTTTGAAAGATATTGAATACAAGCTTTCTGCAGTAGCAGGTACAAATTCCCTTCTCATCACATTAGAGCATCAATCACCCCATAAAGAAAAAAAATATAAAGATTTTAAAAGAAAAAAAAATGTAACTGAGTCTGAAATCAAAACTGAATTCTTTGTATACATGGGCATAGCCCTGCTTGTCTTCACATTCCCATTAAAACCATGAGCCTTTTTATCTGCTTCAAAAATCATGTCTTCCCTGAATTTCCTTATCATCTAAAGCTTTAACGGCAGAAAGTTCATGGATGCCATGGGYTAATATATTTTCAGTTCTCAGAATGTCTCACTGAGCTTTGAGTATCAACCRCTTTTGGTTCGTGTCGCTTTCTCTTGCTTCGGGAACTTCTCCGGGATCTGGATGAATGAGTCTTTGCAGGAAGCTTAGCTGTTTCCTCATGGATGCCCATCAGAGCTTTTTCATCCGTAGGGAGTTCGGGAGGAACATCCGGCCATGGTGTTCGTTTTGCAGGTACAGTAATCTCCAAAGGAGGGTCAATTAACCACCTATATGAAATAAAAATGAAAGCATGAAGTGAATATAAAACCCAACATTCAAGCTCGAGGATGAACGAGGGGGTCAAACACCAACTATTAACTTTAGAATCCAAGTAAAACAAACTATGTGAAGAAGATATCACAGACATGTATGCAAATGCAAACACAAAAAAGGAACGGGAAAAGATTAGAAACAAAAAATAAAAAGGGGGTGCCAGAATAAAAAAGTTAGCCAGATATTACCCTGATCCTTCCATACATGAAAATGTATTGAGCCCTTTTTACGAGCTAAATTATAGTGAAGTTGTATATCTCTTACAAATTATAGAGAAAATAGAGATATAACAAGGTAGATTAAAGAGGATTATGCCGCTGAACAGTAAGGGATCACGGCATTTCATAGTCGGAGCGAATACAAACAAGATGATCATTTTATGGCTGACACCTTTTTGTGGCAAGATGACAGAGTAAAGGAATTATCCATAGGTCATTTAAGCAGTAGGGTTGTTATCTAAGTTATTAAAATGTTGGAAACTTRGAAGCAAGTCCAAATATCTGACGAGCCTCGAGTCACAGAAGAGACAAGTGGAAACTGTATTGCAGCCGGACCTCAAATTCCCATGAATGACCCTAGATTCCTAGAGATTAGAGAGTGTTCAATTAGTTTGCGGAATGATGTCCTTCGTCATCAACTGTTCAAGATAGAAACAACACTGAAGTTCCCTGAATCCACATTACCTCTGGAATCTCCTAGAAAGAAGAGGATTCTTGTACTACAATTTTGTAAGGAAATTTTCCAGGAAGAAAAAAAAATTATGTAGGGAACATCTAAYTATATTACTAAAAGCTCCAATTAACTCACAAAAATGGGATATATTGTAAATTGATCTTGTTGCAGTGGCACCGAACCGTGACTGCCTAACTGGGATGGAATAGAAATAATATTTTGGGAATACTTCGTCAGATCTTGGATCCTAGAGGTCAAATTCTCAAGTAAAAGTGAATAACAGAAGTGAAAAG